GGACAGGGCTCCCAGGGCAGGATTCCCAAGGACAGGGCTCCCAGGGGTGCCCTGCCAGGGGCTTCAATCCCAGGCTGAGCCCATCTGTGGGGACAGGATGGGCCCCTCCACGGTGCTCCAAGTGATCCTGTTCTGACTCGGAGCCGGGATCCAGCCACTCTCTCCCAGCTGGAAGGCTCCTCTTTCCAGTCCCAGGCCCAGCAGCTCACCCAAGGGATCGTGTTGAGCAAACTGATGGATCTGGTTCCTTTCTCTTCTGCTTCCACCAGGCTGGCGAATGTGCAACAGAATATTTCTTTATATTTAAGAGGCATCAACTTGCTACTTCCACGTTTGCCTAATAAAATTACATACTTAGAGTCAATACTACTTCATGCTCAAAATCTACAAGGAACTAACGGCAAGTACTCTACTTTCTAGGTCAATAAAGATTATAAATTAAAAAGAAAATAATCATGGTGGTGCAATGCAAAACTTTACCGTGGGTCAGCCCCGTGATAATTAGTTCACAAACAGCTGCTGAAAAAGAAAACCCAGTTTCAGCTCCATTTAATGACATTTCAGGTAGAATCACCAAAGGATAACGTTGCACTACATGGTAATGCCCATCAAATTAAAGGGTGTCACCAGTGGCATGCTGACAAGTGAACCATGAGGAGACGGTTTGAAAAGATGGGAGAGAGAAGCTGTTGTGGCTCAGCTTTGGGAAAGGAAATGAAACCAGGGCTGGTCCGTGCAGACCTGCAGTGTCCCGGGGCAGGAAAGGGAGGTGCAGCAGGTTACAGGCCTGACAGATCTGCTGGATTTAGCCAACAAAAGAGGAGCTGTATAAGGAAAATTAAAGCCCATCTGTGCCAATCAGAAGTGTGGTAAAGTGGGTGGGAGGCTCATTGTGGAAATGGTCATTAGCAAAGATCAGGGGACATTTGGAAAGATTTAAAAAAAACGGCACAGAAAGTGTCTGTGTTAATATTCCTCAACTCAAACCCTCTGGTACTGAGTGTAAAGATGAAAATCCCAATGCTAATTACCGAGCATGATCTGCACAGGCTGCACATGGTGGTGGCAGTAAATGAGGTGTCCTGACAGTGAAATGACAAGTTTCCCTGCTCTCGTTCAGAAAAATGTCCATTCCCATGACAAAGATGAAAATCAATTCCAGTGCATTTCCAGTCACCTTGTTCCTAAAGGTTTCTTGATGCAGTTGGTAAAAATGTACATCTTTAAGTCCTTCTACTTAGCATGTGTTTGTGGTTTATTTTACAGCAAAGCCAGGGTTAGAATACAAGCCACGGAGAGTTTTTGCCCGGAGCACGTGGACACCTTCCTGGGGTGATGTACTCCAGCCACACGTGGAGGAGGTTCTGTTAGTTCCAGTTACCCATAAAAAAATGTCTTTATAAATAACATCATGCAGCAGCAGTTGGCCCAAGCTGATGTTGTGTCACGTCAGGTCCTTGCGTAAGCCAGTCCACATCCGTCAGCATCCCACAGCCTGGAAAAGGAATGGCTTCTCCTCTGCTTCCTCACAGTTTGTGCTGGCAGCACAGCGGAGTCCATCCCTTTAAGACTGCTTGTCCCAAGAGGGTCCGTGTGTCGGGCTGTGCCGGACGGGGAGGAGGTCGTAGTGACCAGGAATGTGGCTGTTCCTGGGAAGGTCGTATGGATTCTGGAGGTAACTGGCACTCCGACTGCGGCCGTCTTGGACTATGCTGACAGTGGGCTCTGGGGGAGCAAGGAAAACTGGGTTATGGCAACCAGCAGCACTCCCAAAACCAGTTACTGTCCTCATGTCTTTTGTCCCAGCACAGGACGTCGGCCTCCCAAACCATCTCATCCCCCTCCAGCTTCACTGGCAGCACAGGAGGCAGCACGTGGGGCAGAGCAGGGAGAAAAGTACCAAACAGGAGCCAGGGAACGGCTGGAGCTGTGTCAGGGCAGGGTTAGGCTGGATATCAGGAAAAGGTTCTTCCCCCAGAGGGTGGTTGGGCACTGAACAGGCTCCCCAGGGCAGTGGGCACAACACCAAGGCTGCCAGAGCTCCGGGAGGGTTTGGACAACGCTCTCAGGGACAGGGTGGGATTGTTGGGGTGTCTCGATGATCCCTGTGAGTCCCTTTCAACTCAGGATACCACCTCCACAGCTCCCCAAATCAACACACCAGTGCTCAGGCCTTCCCCCCACTGCCAGTGTCTCCTTGCCCTGTGCCAAGTCCAGGTTACTTGTGTCAGGAAAGCACAAAACCAGCCTCTGCACTGAAGCCCCCAGCTGCTGGAGCAGCCCTCGTGCCACCCACTGCTTACCAACTTCGTAGATGTTTTTATTGGCTGTGGATGAAGTTGGCATTTCGGAATACGGGGACTCCCTGTGACCAGGTGATTTCATTTCCACGTAGCTGCTCTCGGAGTGTTTGCAGGTTAAAATGGGGGGGTCTTTAATGGTGGCGTAGGGGTTTTCACTGCTGTTCAGGGAACAAGTGCTGGAGCTGCACACAGACTCTTTCATATAATCTGCAAAACAAGAGCAGGGTGGGAGCGTGAGGGTCGTTAGCTTAACTCAGTTAATTACAACTGAACCTCTGCAGGAAGGCTGGGGGTGACAAGGGGACAGGGGGTGAGGAGGATCCTCGACGCATCCAGCACAGACACCCGTTGCTTGTGCTCTGGGTGTTCCAGACCATTGCATCCACAACTCACTGGCAGGAAAGAAATGAAAACCTGCTCAGTACTGAAGGTTTTGCTGTAAAAGGTTCTAGCTGTCATTTACTGCAATGTTTAATTTGAGGTGGCAATGCCTTCCCTCCCTCCCCTAATTCCTAAGGAGCCGTGTTTAACCCCGCCCAGGACCACGAGTTGGCTCTGCAGGCAGGACCTTCTGCTGGGACTGGGGCTGCAGGGTGAGTGTCCCGGGGCTTTGGGCACATCCAAGGCCCTGTGTTGGAATGCACAGCTTTGCCACAGGCTCAGAACTGCACCAGTGCAGCCTTTGCATGTGTGGCCCCCTGAGAGCGCCAGGCTTGGGGTTATCCAGCATCCTACAAGCTGGAACACTTGGGTTTCCACAGGGGGGGACAATACTCTGTCTGAGCCTCACTTTTGCTCTGCTTTACCCCCCCCATTGCTGCAAACATCTCCTGCTCCTCTCCCCTGGAGAGAAGGAGATGGTGACGGAGGTGCTACATGGGGGGAACAAGGTTGGCGTGAGAGCTGTGACCACCGGCCGGTGACCCTGGCTGGGCTGTGCCAGCCTGCTGCAAGGTGCAGAGCCAGTCTTGCTTCAAAAAATAAAAAACAATAGAGAATAAATAAGTCTTAACATTGACAGTCAAGAACGTGCCATTGCTGCCGTGTGCATCCTGCTGGGCAGTGCCAGTAATTTAGAATTAGAGCGATGCAATGAAAGATGAGGCATTTTCTTGTGCTGGGTTACAGTACAAAGGCAGATCCTGGTATATATGAAATACTCCCGGTGAAATAGTGGGACTTGCAAAATAGCTGCAATCCCAGCTGCCCCCGCTGTCTAGTATGGGAGACAAAAAGAGAAATTCAGGTTAAGAAATGACAGACAACACGACATCGCTCCTCCCTTACAAACCTCGTCTCCGAGCCCCATCCTGCTCCCTCTCTCGCCAGGTTTGCTCCACTGGGTGTGATTCTCCCTCCATCAGCTCTGGGGTTGTGTCTGTCTGTGTCTGTGTGTCCATCACCCCCTAGGCCTGGTGCCCCTCGCCTCGATTCAGCCCTGAGCAAGGTGCCAGGTCGTGCCCTGCCACCTGCACAAGGGGTTGCCTTTCTGGGCTCCAGTTCCAGGGACACCGGCAAGTCCGGAGAGCCCTGAGCTCTCAGGGTCTGTGAAACCAGCTCCACCACAAACCAACCAGCAGGACATGCTGGGACCACCAGGGCTGGGAGGCTGGCAGAGGCCCTGGTACCACTGCAATGTTTATTTAGTTATAAAACTAAGAACCTCCTTATCTGACTTCAGCCTGGTGAGATGAGCAGTGCCTTTGCTTCCAAGTGAAACACGCCTGGTTTGGTACATCACAGCACGTGGGAACCAAGGAACACCAAAATTCCCTGGCTGTTGGACACAGGGTTTATCCCTCCAGCTTCACCAACCCCTTCCCAGTACAAGTCAGGGGAAAAATGCCCCATCCCATCCTTCTACAGGACAATGGAGCAACCCTGGGAGACCAAAGGCTCCTGCACATAAGTGAGCTCAGCATTGTTGGCCTTTGTTCTGTGCATGTGACTCAAATTCAGGTGCCAGAGTCTGGGATCTGTTGGTGTGAGAGACGAGGAGACCATGGACAAGGACTAACAAATTAATTAATCCATTAATCAAAATCTTTGGATTGAAAAGACCTGTTTGGACTGGGCCCCAGCCTTCAGTCAGTGGGAGGGTTGTGCATGAGTGAACTCTTTCACGTGGACAAGGAGCCAGAGTGGGAGCACTCACTGCTTCAGGGACACGGCTGGATGAGGAGACACTCATTCCTGAGGTTTTTATTCCATTCTCAGCCAAAGAAAGGCTCAGCTCCACCTGGCAGCAAGTTACAGCTCCTGGTGGCTACTACAGGTCTGTAGTGCTTGTTAGGAGAGCCTGGGCAGCCTTCAATGAGCCAGCTCTGCATTTTGGGGTGAGACAGGGAGATTATGACAAACTTCCCTCTCTGTCTCAAGCTGTGCTGCTGAGCAACACTTTTTGGGGCAAACATTCATGGGGCAAAAGGCAGGATCCTCTCCGTGCCCTGAGTGTCCACTACAAAGCATTCCTTGTCGGCACCACGGCTGGGAGGGAACAAATCAAACCAGAGCTGGGCTTAGAATAATAAAATGTCAATTATAAAGGACTGTTGGCTACTACAGCAAAAAAGGGCCGAGTGAGAAATGCTGCTCCTGCAGAGCTGTGTTGGGTCAGTGCTGGTTTGTTTATGGAATTGGGCACATTGGAGCTGGCACAGGCAAAAATCCCAGCACATCAGCTATTTTATTAAGTCCAGCTCAGCTGCTTTTACTTTCCTAAGCTAAAATTCACCTGCCCTGCTGCCAGGGCTGACACCCCCCCCAGGCAGGCGTCCCGCAGCACCAGCCCTGCCCTTCCCAGGACCGTGCTGGGAGACACCCATCAAACACCACTGGGGCTGCCCAGACTCGTTTGGCCTCTCCCAGGAACCGCCTTTCCCCAGGAGGGATTGGGAAACAACAACATGCCCAGGAGCCGATTCCCTCTGACGTAAACGGGAGCTCTGTGTCTACCCCTGGACCAGACCTTTGCTCTGGATACAATAAATATATTTTATGGAGCACCAGCCCATGTTTGGGAATGTGCTGCACACCAGGGAGCCATTAGCCCACAAGAAACACTGTGTGCAGGATCATGGAGAATTTAAGGGATGGAGAAGCAGCTGAGTTACTTTGTTATTAAGGTAATTTGGGGATAATTAAGAAGTCTGGCATCAATTGTCAGATTTCATTTCATGAATTAATTTAACCAGAACAAGGGTGTTTAGAAATTCTCAGCCCGTGGTGCTGCAGGCCCTGTGTGAGCTGCCTCCTCATCCTCCCCTGTACCCACAGGGAGCTCTCATGGAGGTGGAAGCTCAGCTCGATCCATGACACTGTCACCACAGTGCTGGGACTCACTGGAAGCACTGGATCAGCTGGACTTCCAGAGAAATATGGGGAATATGCTCTAATTTTGCAGTCCCTGCATTCTGTGTTGCCTGGATACCAATCACCAGACCTTTGGAGGGTTCATTTTTGTTAGCAGGGACTGGAAATGTCCCTCCCACAGACTGGGCACCTCTCTTTTGCCCTGAATTTCCCCTGGCATCCTAATGACAAGCCTTGGGACCTACTGCCCCATTGGAAGTGCTAAAGAAAGGTGCTGCACACAGGTAGAACGTGCTTTTCCTGCTACTTAACCCCCTTTAGGGATGCCATGCCTTGCTGGCTGCTGTCCCTGCCCTGCCCAACCCTGGCTGCTGCAGGGACAGTAGCTCAGCAAGGGCTCAGTGCTGCTGTTCAGAGTGACACAGGAGTGGGGACACATCCTGCACAAACTCCAGATGAACCAAGCTGAACCCTGAGATTAGTTCTTCCAGCTCCAGGGATTTTCCTGGCTGTTGTGCAAAGAGTAGGGTTTTTTTCCTTAAAATGTTACTGCCTGAGGTCACGTTATTCCACCAGTGCATCAGCACTCATTTAAAAAAAATACTTCTAAAAAATACAAAAGGACTCAGCTGCAAGGAAAAGCTTGGAAGTGGTGTCACTGAGCACCATGCACAGGAAAGAAGCTGCTCAGAAAGCTGCTCTGGAAATCTTGTGACTGTTCAGCCCCTGTCACCAGGTGCCACCACTGTGGCACCCAGCCCCTCGCTGCCCCGCTGCTGTCAGACACTGGGAGCCACCCTGGCAAACCCAAACCTCTGTGCCCGACCCCCTGCACCTCCACTGGCAGCATTCCTTGTGTCAGGCTGCACAGGGAACACCCCTCTCCTGGTGTCCTGCTCTGGGACAGCCCCCAGCCAGCCCCGAGGGGAACGGGCTCTGGTCCCAGAGGAGGAGAACTGGGGAAGGGGGTGGTGGGGCAGGACCACCACAGCCTGACCTCAGGCCCAGGCCCCTGTGCCCCCTCCCAGGCTCTGAGCCGGTCCAGGAGCACCAAACACCACTTTCAGCTGCAGGAGAAGCTTTCCCCAGCTGGACCACACAGGTGGGAAAGGACCAGGTTTTTAAAGTGGATGAAAGCAGATAAAAACCAAGCCCCCGCCCGCCCAGCCTTTCTGCTGACACAATCCAACTGTTTGGGACTGGGAGTTTTCTCTCTCTCCATCTTTCAGAGGAATTTGGTGAGTCAGGGCTAACTCTGCACCTGGCAGGGCAGGAAGAGCTGCAAGCTGAGCATGGGAAACATTCCCAGCTCCTTTTGGGAGGAATTCTCCTGGGACTGCGGGTGCCCATGCTGCCCCAGAGCCCCAGGGCTGCCTAGGTCCAGGAACTGACCTTCAGCTGGGACTGTGGGAACCTTCAGCCAGCCACAGGCAGCTGCTTCTGAGAACTCTCAGCTGCCAACTGCCTGCAGGTAAGCTCCCCAAAATCCCTGGGAAGCCAGGTGTGTCCCTGTGTCCTGGCACCCTGCCCCTGCCAGCGCCAGCCGTGCCCGTCTGAGGCAGCTGAGCAGCACAAAGAACTCCCCAGCTGCCCTGACGTGGCTTCTGGGCCTGATTTTTCCATTTATAAGGGGATAAACATGTAAAAGAAATGGTTCAGATCCTAAATAATAAGCAAAATATGCAGGAACAGAAAATACATTTCACAGTTCCCTGTCAATGGGATTCTTTTCCTCTGTTCCCACTGGTTCCCCTCTGTGTGATTGTGCCTATGGATGGGAGCTCCTGCTGCATGTGTTTCAAGCAGCTTTTAAACCTTGTAAACACAGTAATTTACTTTGAACTAATTAAATTAATAGTTCCATGTAAAGAGAACAACTAGCTATAATGTAATAAGATTTTTCTGCTGAAAAAGAGAATCATTGAAGGAGCTGAAACTAGTGGATTGACTATATTGTACATAATATATATCATATATGTACATAACCCTTTTAATATTTTAATTCCAGCTTTCTTAAGAAAGACTGGGTCATGGATTGTTGGTTTCCTTTGGTGTTTCTGTGCAGTAAGGTGAATTTCTGGCAAATATTGCACCACTGTATTTTGAAAAGAGCAGCTACAAAGTGATTATTGATCTCTAGGCCTGGCTATAGGCTGGTCATTGCTTTGTGTGAGGAACAGCTTTGGATATTTCTTGTTAGTTCAGATAAAGGTGTGGCTCTGGAGCACCTCAGGCCTGGCAGAGCAGTGGGGGTGTGGAACCCAGCTCTGTGTGAGGGCACCACTGCCCCCATGACTCAGCCAAGAGCAGCTCCAGGACATCACTGTGGTATTCCCCTCCTTGGCTGATGGAGGGACATTCCCAGGCATGTACAGACACAGCAGCCTTGGATTCACATCAAGGACCTCAGCCTGAATCCTGCCTATTCCCAGGAGACAGATTCCTTGCTCCACCTTCTGGAGCACAAGTTCCATGTGCTAAATCCCAGTCCAACCTGTCAGGAGCTTGTGGGAACCACTGTGCCAAGTGCTCCCGTGGTCCAGGCATAACTGGAATGTTTTGAATGTAGACCTGGAGGACAAGTGAAATGTAAAACCACCGGGCCCTGTGCTCAGGACTCATCCCTGATCCCTTTTTAGACCTGCCCTGGAGTCAGTGCCCATAACTTCTCCTGCCATGTGAGGGGTCAATTACCTCAGGGAGGGCTGTTCTCCAGCTCTGCTCCAAATCCCTCTCAGCAAAGGGCACGAGGCAGGGGCAGCTTGTTTTCTAGGGGCTTTGCTTAAGCTCAGGATGGCCAAGAGCAGGGAAGCACCCCAGGCTGTCCTCAGCAGCTGCCACCAGATCCTCGTGGGTGGCCAGTGGGTCCTACAGGAGTGTCCCCTGCCCAGCCAGCTCCACCTGCCCCTCCTGCCCTGCAGCTGAGCCCTCCCTTTAGCCTTGTGCTGCTGTGCCAGGCAGGAGCCTGTGGCCCTGGGAAGCCTGAATCCATAATTCATGGCCCCAGGAGTGCTGCCAGCAGGCAGCTTGTGTGGGTCATGGCTCTGTCCCTCCCTGTCTCTCCCGGCCTCTCTCCCAGGGGCTCCTATCTCACCTCTTCTAGGACACCCTCCTCACACCTGGCAGGGTTCTGCAGCACTGGATACCATACCTTTGAAGCTTTTTTCCATTATGTATGTGTTCTGACGTCTATCCATCCCACAAGCACCTGCATAAAAATGATATATAATGGAAAACAAATAAATATTTATGTAAATTGGATTGCTTTGACTACTGAGCAGCATATATTCTTCCCTCTAAACTGTACATCAAGGCCCTCATTTAGGGAGGCTCTTAAGCACATCCTCAGCTGTGAGCACACACTCAGCTTCAGTGGGGAGTCTGTGCACACCTGGAATTCTGCATGTGCTTAAGAGCTTCCCTGAAGGGAGGGCTTTCCTGCAGCAGGGTTACCAAGAGCAGCCATCCATCAGGAGATCAGGAAAAAATCATCTGCTGGTACATTCATTACTGAAACACTGGCTTGGATTAGTGAAAGAAGCCTGAAACGTGTCCTTTCCAACCTGAGTCTGCAGGTTGTGTTGCATCACCCTGTGACTAATTTTAGGCTTTGTTTTGTTCGTGGGTAGTGGGTTATTTGACTCACAGCCTTAGATCTGAGGTGTTTACAATCTGCTTGAATTACCTACTATAACTTTGCTCATAAATTTGCACGGTTCAATAACTGATGTGACAACAGCCTCTAAGTGCCCACTGTGGTCTGACAGTGCAGAGAGCTGACAGCAACACTTGTGGCTCCATAGGAACTTGCTGTTCCTCATGGAAGCAGAGACAGAAGGGGATGGGAACCTCTTTCATTTCCACTATTGCAGATTACCCTCGATATCAATCAAAAGGCAAATCTAATGTAAGCCTTTAAATCTCTTAACTATAGAGTCTGGTATTTCTTATTGACTAGGAAAATCAATACAAATTCGGTTACTGAGAAATGTCTTCGTGTCTTATGGGATTCCCAGTCAAGTAACTCAGTTAGGCTGGGAAAAGAGCCCTGCAAACAGTGTGTCCCAGAGGCTTCCCAGCTATTTGTCCTTGAGTGTCCTCTGGTCTCTGCAGAAAAGTTGTCACAGCCACAGGCAGTGCTGTACCAGTGCCTTTATCAGCACACCTTTGGTTTTTTTGCTAAATAAGGAAAATGACTGAATTAGACAATAAATGTGTTAGTGGCACATCAAAGACAAGCCAACCCCTCTGCTCTGGCTCTCAGAGCTCAGCCCTGAGCACAGGAACAGGGCTGGTGGTGCATGATGGGCTCCCTGTGATGGGGCCCTTCCCCTTCTGGCCAAGAGTGACCCCCCCCAGTCCATTGGAGCACCTTCTGCTTTGTTTTCCACCTCTGATCCTGAGCCAATTCCTGATGCAGAGGGCAAGGCTGACTGGGAGGTGTGGGAAGCTCTGTCACACAGCAGGATTAGCTCAGTGCTGGTTTTCTCTCCTGCCAGGGCAGAGACCCAGGCGAGGAGGACGGAGCTAATTCATCCCTTGGCTGCCATCCAAGGGGATTGGGCTCCCTTTCCCAGCAGTGGAGCTCCCCAAGGCCATCCCTGGTGATCACACGGCCTCCTGCCAGGGCTGAGCAAATCTCCAAGGGCAGGAACACCAAGCAGTGTTTGGGCAGCTTCACACGGTGCCTCCAGCAAGGAGAACTCACACCAGGCTGGGGTGGGAGCAGCTGGAGAGCTCCCAACAGGTCACAGCAGGGAGGGGCTGTGGCAGGGAAGCAAAGGGGACCCAGGCTGACCCATGGGGAGGGCATTGCTCTTGGGAGCCCTACATGATCCTTCCCAACCTATTCCCTGTAATTCTGCCTTTAGTTTTGTCTTTTATCTCTTATGATACTGTGGGTTTATGACCCGTTTTTGTGTATTCGCTGTGCTCCTCAGGAGGTGAAATGAATGATGGACACATTATTTTTTTAACCTGCAGAAGTCATTAATGTGGAAAAGTCCTAAACAGGCCAGGAATGTGGCATTTTATGGAAGTCCAGGTTTAACTTTGAAGCTAAATTATCTGCTGGGTGAAATCAGGGTCTTGGCTGGAAATACTTTTCCACACCTCTTGGCTTTGAGAAAAATGCAGAGTCAGCTGTGAATCAAACTTAGTGGCTTTGGTCCTTTGGAATAAATTCAGCTTCAAGTCCCTCACAATGGGCTGCAAATCACACTTTAGTCTCTGCATCAAGGACTGCTGTTAAAAAAACATTACACATAAAACCATTTTTGCTGCAGCTCAGCGTGCCCAGCACTGCAGCCAACGAGCACGACAACCCTCCCTGAACTCAGGACATGGTTCAGGAGTTTTGACTCCCTTGGAAGCTGGAATCTGCCACTGCTCAATGCAGACTGGACTAGAGCAAGAGAGATCAGTCAAAGAATTCCTGTTCTGCAGCAGGAGATAGAGAACAGAGAACACAAAGCCAAGCCCCTCCTTGAAACTAGGACTGGGCTGCCTTGGGAAGGCAGTGACACACAGGGAGGTGACAAAGCCACCTCTTCTTGACACCAGAGTCCCCAAACACTGATCTCTCAAGCCCACATCCATGGGAATTACTTGTGCTCATCCCTAGACCCCAACTCCCCTGAACAGACACGACCAGCTCCCTGACAAAGCCCCATATTTGAAGCTCACAAGCAAATGTGCCGGCAGTGAAAATACAGGCTTTGTCCTTGCATTCCCCACTTGGAAAGAACATGAACCTGGCAAACAAAAGTCCTGCAAAACAGGTAGAACACCTGCAGCCTGGTGAGATCCACTGGAATTAAGAAAACTCCTTATGACTGCAGGTTTTAGAAGATGAGTGTCAGAGTTAATTCTCACATAGATATTCTCACAATTTCCTTTCCCTCAACTATAATTAATATTTAGGACACAAATTCCAACAAGCCTACAGACATCCCTGTGAGCCTGATGCTCCTCATCTGGTTGGTCCCATCCTTTGGGATCACTGCCACAGTCGGAGGGGTCACTGGCAGGGGGGTGACCAGAAGAGCTGAAGGTTTCCATCCATTCCAAATTTCTCTTCAACGTCTCTTCCATCTCCCTTTAAGTTCTCCCCCACCTCTGGCTCACTTACACCTCTGCTCTCCAGGACGTTTCAGGGTCACAGCACAGGAGCTGTGCAGTTGTTCAAGGCCATTTTAACTCTTTTTAACTGAATCCAGCCCTGCCCAATGCTTGGCTGCTCTTCCAGAGCACGAGCTGGGGCATCTGTGTCATAAACCTAAGGCTGAAAGTGGGATAAGAAGGTGCGTTATGTCTTTAACTGTGGTACTTCCATGCCTGATGCAGTTTGAAGGTCAAGATCCCCTCTGTGACCCCATGGGGCTTCACTAGTATTTTGTGTTTACAACTCAGCATTGAAGATTTTCATTTCTTTTCTGAAATTTGCACAGGTGGAATCTGCAGCTTTTATTGCACCAAAGTAATACCAAGAAATGAAAACATTTTACAGTTTCATATAAAAATGGCCTTGATCTGAGCAAGAACTCAACATTATGAAAGTCAGCACGAGCAGACATTAATTCTGGTACTGAAAAGGAAGAAAAAAAATCTCATTTTCATCAATTACTGTGAAAAACAGAAAGAAAAAGGTATTCTGGATGCAAAAATGCCATGGGGAAAACTGAGTGTTTTGCAGGAGACCACTTAGCTAAAAGCTAAAGTATTTAGCACTTCTTACTGCAGAGGCATTTGGCATTGCTTCTGCCAGTAAAATAAAATGCATGAATGCAGGACAGATGTGGCACACAGGGAGCTCAGGACACAGCAAGATAAACACAAATAAAGCAAATAAGTGTGCAAAAATAAGCAGCAAAACGGTAAAAGCAAAATTAACTTGATTTGAGGAGCATTTGGAAACCCTGACCTCCCCGGCCCCCCTGTCATGTACAGATAAGCACAACAGCAGTTCTGCAGGTTATTATACAGCAAAGCACATTGATGGTTTTAATGATGAGAAGGTTTTGCACTGAAGCTTGACAGGTTTGTGATTTTCCTGATGCAGGGAAGGCCTGATCTCTGGAGCGAGGCCTGGTGTGTGCCAGGAGCTGTGACAGGACGTGACGCCTGGTGCTGCCCTGGGCTCATTCCTGTGCCACGTGAGCTGTGAGATAGTTGACCTTAAAAATCCCATAATACCCCTTAATGCTGCACTTTCCCCCCCTACAGCATATTTTCAGTAAGATATCAGTAATCCCAGTAAAGGAAAGGGCAAATGCTTTCTCTGCCACTGAGAAGCCAAACTCCAAGTGCTCAGATAGGAAAACAAATACCATCCAAAGCACTAAATCTGGGCAGGACTTGAGCTAAGAGCTGCTGAAAAACCCTGTTAAAACTTAAGCCAGGGCGAATAAACTCAGGAGAGGTAATTAAACTTCACTCTTGGCTTAGCTGCACCGGCTGGTGGTTCAGAATTGCCTGAGAACCGGGCACGGTGTGATTTACCGGGAGATAACGGCGGATCGCACGGCCCAGCTCCCACAGAGGCTCCACACCTCCATCAACATGCCAGCATTTAGTGCTGAGCTTTATTAAGCATGAAAGAAAAGGAAAAACAACAACAACAAAAAATCCCAAATTTGAATTTTTAATGTCCTCGGCCAGTCCTTAAAAAAACATTTATGGAGTAGATGATGGCGATTCAACCCAGCAACCCTGGGAGGGAGGCTGGAATGAATATTGACTCTGCTCTCCTGGTCTGTGGTTTGTGGTAAAGGAAACAATTCTCAATTCTCCACCTTTCACTGCTGGCAATTCTGATGGTGAAATAAAGACAACAACAATATTCATCATTATTGTTAATGCCTTTATGAAAGGCTGACTTGGGTCTGGAATTGCTCTAAAGTCTACTAAAGTGATTAAAGTGTTTAAAAATTACTGACCTAGTTCATTCAGATAGCTGTAGGGTCTCCAGTCTGCAGTTTCTCTGTCAAGGATTTTGTTACTGAGCTGTTCAAAAAGTATGATAATGGGTTAATGCTGGAAGAAACAGACAGTTCCCACCCGAGACTCCAGCCCAAGAATGTCAGGAATAAAAATGGGAGATGACTGTTACCTTGGCCTCACATTTCAGCCCTTTATCTACATGGGTTTGACAACTGTTCACTAGCGTTAGGGAAAATCACAAAGGAAAGTCACTTCACCAAGCAATGAACAAAAACATGCTGGAAAATACAGGATTTCCTTGAGTACCACAACTTGGATGCCTGTGGACATGGAGTGACATGCTGGCAGCTCCAAAATAACTGATGGAGATGGATGGATCAAACCCACCCGCATCAGCATGCAAAGAAGGGCTGCTTGGAACTGAGGGGATCTGCTGAGACATCTGTGTGTTCAGTGACAAGAGATGGGATGGTGACAGAGTTCTCTCAATTCAAGGAAAATCACTTTGGCAACAGTGAAGCACAAAACCCTGTGCAGCTCTGCCAGCGGGGAGAGGAGCCCAGGGCTGCCATCCAGATGCTGCTGCTGGAAAAACACCTCTCCCAGCGTGGCAGCTGGGACCCTCTGCGTGCCTGAGGCGTGGAATGGACACATCCCACGCTGCCGTGGTGGGAATGCCTGGAAAAGGCTGCTGGTGTATTGACCACCCCTGTCAACGTGCTCTGGGTTTCTCTGCCGTCTGTTGAAGTCTCCCTTGAGCAGAACGATGCTTGAACACAACACCAAGGCAAGCACAGGGGATTTGGGGCTCTGGGGTGAGCTCACTGGAGCATCTCTGTGGTCAGTGAAAGGGGAGGGGCTGCTGTTTGGGGGTACAAGGCTCCTCTGGCCTGGGGCACCACATTAAAAAGGGGCTCTACCTCTACAAAGCCGCTGGGGATCAGGTGAGTGCCAGCAAGGAGGGTTTGGGAATCACTGTAGTTGCTAAAGCTGCCGAGTTTTCCACCTTCACATTTTACCCTTGAAAGCCACACCTGATGCAATACAGCTGGTCCTGAGGAAGTGTCAATTCAAGAGCAAATCTCAACCCTGTGTCTGAAAAATTAGTTATGAATCCATCATTGCTCTCCCGTGTCTGCTTCCAGACTGGGAAGCCTCCTGCCTCTGTTCAGAGGGTTCAGCTCTGCTATTTTACTGTGTTTACAAGAAAATGCTTAACAAAAAGGAGGTTAAAACTGAAAGAAAGTATTCAAAATTACTGCAGCATTTCATTGTTCCTGACCTCTCATTAATTTCTGCTTAGCTTTCTCAGTGGGTTTTTAGATCTGGAACAAAGAAAAACCCCACCGATGTATCGAGGTCTGTTGGGATATTAAATCCCAGCTGACACCCAGCACCTACAGCCACAGTCCAAAGGTGTTTTCACCCACCTTCACAGTTCTGTCCAACAGCCCTCAGTGCCACAGCCACCCCCCCTGAGGGTGCAGCCCCATGTTGTCCCTGTGCCTGCAGTGATCCCGCTGTCCCTGGGCACTGAGGAAGCTCTGCAGGAATCCCAGAGTCCTCCAGGACTCCTGGAAATTCCCGATGTGCCACCTGAGGGAAGGGGGACATAGCCCTGTCCTCTCAGGACATGTAGGCAGGTGTGGTCACCAACGTGGTCTTGTGCCACCAGCCCAGGAGCCCATTCCAAACCCATCCAAACCAGGCTCGGGCTGAAGGAGACTCCGCTGCGGAGCCACCAGCGCTGACCTTGCACGAGGCATTAATTCAGGGCAGTCTGTGCCCTGTGCTGAGTGGGAAGTGCAGCCAGATGATCCCCACGGTCCCCTGAGGCCCTGCAGCCCATGAATCTGACACCAGACAGCTCCAGTGATTGCTGTGTCCGGGGCTCCTCCTGCTCCTTCTCGTTTTTTGTCCATGTTCCCATGCAGGTAACTCGTGCTATCAGCTCGTCAGGCACCTCTGCTCCAGCCACTCTCCTCAAGGACGTGCCCAGAGCAGGGGGACAGTTGATAAACCTGCTTGTCTGCAGCATTTCCAGAGCAATCCCTGCCCCAGAGCAGTGGCTGTGGCTGCACATTCCCGCTCCTGGCACGGGCTGTGCGTTGGCACCTCCCAGCCGACGGCACAGGAGCCGTTTCTTTATCCTTGAACAGCTCCTGGTGCTTCCCCCAAACTGGGAATGGACACACTGGCAGCAGGCACAGGTATGGAGCAGTGGGGCAGCCAGGCAAACAGCAATGGCAAGGGGATGAGGAGCAGATCAGCTTGGAATGTGGCCACTGAGGGAGGAATCCTGGCCCAACACACCTCGGCACATCAGTTCTCAGAGCCCATGGCTTCGTCCTTCTCTTCAGAACTCGCAGCCAGAGCACAAATGCTGATTTCCAACCCAGCTGCACCACTTAGAGCACATTTATTAAAGTCTTGGGGTTTCTATTAAAAGCTCTGGGTTTGCAGGATTTATAAATCAGCTCACAAACCTAAAATTTGGCATGAAGAGCTACGGGCTAGAATTGATTTTTTTTAATGAAATGATTTGGGGACATTTCTAAGTTTTTCTGAATGCAGCAATTAGGAAGAAATGTGATTATAGCTGTCTCTTTGTGCTACTATCATTTCTTAACACACTATAATTTGTTAACTTTTTTTTTTAAGATAGAAAATACTTCAATTTTTAGTGTGAAGCAAAATTGCTTTTCTGAAGGAAGAAATCCTTCACAATAAATTTCTCCATTAAAATCCCTAGCTGGTAATTTTAGCAATTTGGTTAAAACTACCTCACATCTGGCAACTTTTCCTTTAAGATCAACGAGACACCAGCATGAGCAAAGCAAAGTCATTATCTGCCTGGCTGAAATAGCTGCAGAGATGACAGTGGCCACCAGCCATTTGTCAATGCCCAGGTTTCTGAAGTCCATGGTGATTAGGCAAAGAAGCGCTGGCAGGAGCTCCATCATACCTTTATCCTCCAGGAGAGCAATCAATAAGAGCTTTGCCATTAATTTCCCTGACTACTGGCTTCAGATTTCCATGGTCCAAGCCAGTGCTGCTCAGTTTTCATGCCCATCCTGGATGCTCTGCAGCCATTCTGTATTTGCAGCCTTCCTTTTTTTCCTGGGCAAGTTTTAGTCAAAGGTGCTTTAAATGATGCTTTCTGTGGCTGAATTCCTTTTTATGAGCTGGGTGACATCCAGTCAGACCATTTCCAGTGACCTCTGTTTTGCAGTTTCTAATTTTATGTGAAGTCTTTGGTAGAATTTAGAACTTCCTTTAATAGATGTGAAACTGCTGGCTTTAAAAATTCAGGACATCTAATAGCAATTGATTTTTATGATGTCTGTAGAAACCAGCAACACCTGGAAGGGGGTGAGGGTGGAATTATGAGCTTTGCAAAAGCTCAAGGTGAGAATCCTCCATTTGCCTGTGACCATTGCAGCAGCCCTATGCTTTATACAGAGGAATCTTCACATGCTTTGCAGTGTTCAGTAAAAGTGAGATATATCCCTACTTTAATGCACAACTCAAAAACTCAAATATAGAGCTGGCATTGAAGCCTTGAGAGTGGTTCTGCCAAATGCCCTCTGAGCAAAATAGGTCCTCAGCATCTGAAATCTGGTCTTCAGCTCAAGCAATGAGAGCTCTGATGTGAAGACACAGGTGTGGAGGTGGGTGTGTATCTCTGTTTATCTGCTTTGGAAAATTTGCTGCATTAATTTTGTGGCACAATTTCACTCCAGTTCATGTCTGAGACCCCTGGGTAACTTGCAGCATCACCATTATTTGCTGCTGCACGTGTCATTAGGAAAAAAGGCCAAACTTTTGTAGGAGCAAAGGTCAAGTTTTGGCTTCACTTAAACTGACAGTAAAATATGTCTTGACTTCAATGGTTCCAGCATGTCACCCAAGCTGAGCTGGCAAACCCACTCACATGTGGAGAGCAGTTACTTGTGCCAGGTGTCCAGCACTGGAATGCTGGAGCTTCTGTCTCCTCCTTAACCCCAGAGATGCAGATCCATTCTCCTGGACCTTGCACAGAGACAGAGCTCAGCCCAACAAGCTCCTGCTGGCAGCTGGAACAGGCTTCAGGGACACAGGACTGGAAGGGCTTTGATCACGGAGTCCCTGAGTCCTGCCGCCTTTTACTGCAAACACCCAGGCACATAATCCCTCAGATAGCTGATCAAGCTCCATTTTAAGAGTAATCAGATTTCTTTGTCCCATTAGTCTTCCTGGGAAGCTATTCCAAAATCTCGCTGATCTGATGTTAGAAATCTAATTTCCAGCTTCGATGCATTCATGGCCAGTTCATCCTCATTTGTTCTCGTGCCAGGGCTGTCATCCCACTTCAATAGCTCCCCTCCCTCCTCGTGTTTACCTTGCTGTATTTAGAGATGGCAATCATGCTCCCCCTCAGCATTCATTCTGCCACATAAAAGAAGCCAAGCCTTTTTTTAGTCCCTTCTCATACTCTCCCCCTTCTCCTCCCACTTGTTTTCCTCCTGCCTGTGTTCCAGTCCCTGCTCCACTGGCACAACCACCCAGCCCTGTGGGTTTTAATGCCTCCACCTGTATTTGTCTCTCAGCAACTTCAATGATTTACCTCCAGGACGTGTGTAGGGTCCTGAGCAGTGGCCTAATGTCTGTCTGGCAGAGGGAGATGAGGAGGTGAGACACCTTCCCCCTGCTCCTGGGAGGGATGTGGGAAGGTGGGCACTGCTCCCATCCTATGCAGACAGACCCACCTCCCAAAGTGAGGTTCTCAGTGCAGTGCTGGGCCCTTCAGCTCCTGCCCTCAGCCACCCTCACCCACCTCCTTCCCTGGGGGAGGTACCACCGTGCCCCCTGAGAACAGCAGGGAACAGCCACAGCACTGGGCAGCTGTGCTGGGAGCCCTGGAGCCACGGATCCTGGAGCTGGGAGAGGAGAGCAGGAAGGAAAACAGGAATAATATGTGTGGAGTTGGGTGAGAAAAGGAAATAGGAATAGGAAATATAATAAAATATTATTATAGGAATAGGAAAAGAGTTATGAAAAAAACAAAGATAATAGAGTGGAGAGAACACCAAGGGAAGAAGAGAGAAAAGACAAAATAAGACACAGAAAGAGAGGAGAGGAGAGGAGAGGAGAGGAGAGGAGAGGAGAGGAGAGGACGATGGGCTGGGGGAGCACAGGAGAGAAACCCCTCCTCAGGCTGGAGCAAGGGCTGTATCGTGTCCTGCCTTGGCCCAAGCTGTCTCTGAGGGCAGGGAGAGAGGAATGGCTCCAGTCCATCGCCTCAAGGCATGATCTCCTTGGAGAGATAACACATCCAGGGCTCTGGCTCAGCACTTCGGAGATTCCTCTGCCATTTCTTTTCATTTTGCATCTGTGCTGGTTCCTTTGTGACCCCAGCTGGCACCATAAAGAAATGAATCCTCCAAGTACAACTTGTGCACATTTCTCTGCAGAAAGTGGGAACGGCACCAGGCAAACTGATTTGGAAATGAACTCGTTAAGGCAGCCAGTGGGGCTTTATGTGCTCCTTTGTCTCACTTGGCTGGAGAGCTGCAGACAGACAAAGCTTGTTTTTGGCCATCTCAGCTCTTCAGTACTGCAGAGCATTCCCGTTAATAAGTGAGATGCTGGGAGAGCTAAAGGAAATATCAGGCCATATATTGAGATAAACACCCTGAAAATACCAAATCCATTGGTTTTTCTTTCAGTGACTACCAGGACAAGCTGCTGACTGACTCTGGACAGCCAGTGCTGCAGCAGGGGGAGCAGCTTCCAGGCTGATCCCAATGCATCACTTGGGGCTTAAACCTTTCCAGCAGCTTAACATTTGAAGTAGTTCTGTGAGGAGATGGCACTGCAGGCTGGGAATCCAGGAGAGGTGCTGGCTTTGACCTTTCCTGAATTCATTTAAATTTCTGCAGCAGGATTAGTGGCCCAGATGGACACATCCTAAATTTGACATTATGAGCGTTTGCACTTTCAATTTGGGGAGCAAAAATGCATGGTGCAAGGGGACCATCTACTTCAGAAAACATATTTACACATCTGTCTAAACATTTCTCTGAGAAATCTCTGGAGCCAGCCTTTTTATTATATTTTAATGAGATTTTTTCTTTTAATAACCAAGAAATGACTTCCAGGAGCACATGTAGAGATATTTTTGCCTGTCTCTTACAATACTGTCTTTTTGGCATTAATCTTGTTCCTATGGCTTTCCAGTGAGTAGTTACATTTGGATTAAGGTGACACAGCCTGAAAGTACCATCATTTTTAAAGCTGATGAAATCAATTGCATTTCCTTTTTCTCCCTGTGCTTTGTCCCACCTTGGCTTATTAAGGCTCCAAAGGAAGAGCTGTTTTACCATTTACCACACCTAAATCTACTGCCAAAGTGGTGATTTGAGTCACGGTGTTGTCCAGGAATGGTCTGAGGGAATCAATAGCAACACGTGATAAGGAAGGTACTCGTGGATGTTTGAGCAATGCAGTGGGAACAGCTCTTCCGGAGAGCCAGGAGTGACAGCAGAGCTCCCAGGATGTCCCTGGGTGGGTCAGGACAGTGCTCAGAAGCACCCCAGGTGCATTCTTGCATCTATCTGCTTGTCTGTGACAGCAGGGAATATGTGTGTCTGCTGGCCTGGGAAACAATGGGATAGCCAGGTGAGATTAGTGACCTAATGCTTCATTGATTTACTTGTGTTCCTTTAATGGATAATTATATTTATCTGGTTATTTATCTCTTCTGAGAAACCAAAATACCTTAGAGTTGCTAAGACACTCAGCCCTGCTGACCCAGACAGGCATGTGCCCAGACTCCAGTTACCATTCCCAGAGACTGGAAAGATACTGGGAGGGGAAAGCTGACCTTTCCCTGGAGTTTTAAATCAAGCTGGCAGACAGCAGGATCCAACAGACAGTGCTTGGGTTGATTTCCTTGAACTGATAAGAACATTGCTGCAGTGGGGTGGGGTAATATCTACCTTACTGGAGCTGTTTCCATCCAGATTACTGGGAAAGAAGCGTGAGGTCACACCACATGAGAGAGTGTGGTAGCTGGGATTGGAAAAGCAGTGTACACTGCCGCTACCTTGAGATACATCTGGGGAGAAAACAAGTCATCACAAAGTACTTTGGAAGCCATAACAATCCTTAAGAAACTGAAAACATGGCAGAGACAATCTAGTTTAGAAACCTTGGGTGTTGTAAAAACATCTGCAGATACAATCTATCCTGAATTATGGTGTGAAGCTCTTGACTATCAGCATTACACATAAGAGAAAAAAAGCAAAATAGTTAATTAACACAGCATTATCTTTTTGAAGATGTTAAAAAAGCCATTCCTGACAGTACAGCTGCTTTGCAGGTTGAGGGAGGGAATGCAAAACTTGGGAAATGCATGGGCTGCAACACAGCTGCTTCCTTAGTTTAAAACTTCTAAGAGCTACTGAGCAGAAGCAGTTATGAAAATAATTAAACCTTTTGTTACCAAACCAGCAGTAAAGTTGGAAATCAAGGTGCTACAACCATACCAAGGAGTCCCAAACATTTTACCTTTTGTACAAAGGCTTTTTACAACAGAAATCTGGAGCCCTGAAAGGCAAACCTGGGCAGTTACATTGTTATCTTCAGAGACATTTTATCTATTTCCTCGCTTTAACTTATAAACACATTTACCAAGAAAGGCATCATATTTATACTGGCAGTTCTAATGAAAACATCAATCCCAATCTGGTTCCAGCTGCATAACAAATTGATAAATATTTCAAAGTACCATCAGAAGAACGGATGGAAAAATTCAAACCGGAGCAGAAGCATTTAAACAACAAAGCCCTGTAAGAAGCAAATGAATGGGTTTTAATAAACCCCAGGCTTAAACTGGAGGCAGAGAGGTCGGTTATAGGGAACACCTTCATGTGGAAAGGGTAATGAAGTGCTGGGGTGGCTGTTTGAACCCACCCCCACCTTTAGGGAAGGTTGGCAGCGGTGGGTGAGGGAGGGCACGGGCCCGGCTGGCACCGAGGGGGCTCCCAGCCACCACCACCCCTCTCCCCTTGCCCTCTGCCTTTGCCTCGCTCTGAACATGCACTTTGCTCTGCTGACATCTTGTGGAGATCTAGATTTAGCTTAATTTACTGCAGAATATCCTGTTTCAAGGAAGGGGCTCTGTCTGCAGGGTGTCTCTTACGTAAGTGCTGTAGCTGAGGGGAAGCTGCTCGTGCAGGTCTGACCAAGCACTTCTTTTCTGCTGAAACGTGCACAGGGATTTTCCAGGGCAGCCCTGTTTTGTGGTAAGAGCAGAGTCTCTGAGTCCTAGTTGTTTTCAGGGCTGTTGCTAATGAAGTAGATCAGGATGTGATTCCAGAGCTGAAGTCTTTGCATTGAACTTCTTGCAGCCAGGGCTCTGCCACCTCCCCAACTCTAACTCTGAGACATTTGCAATCAAATTAACATAAACCACCTATCTCTTGGGGCCTGCCAGTGAGAACTAGGGCTGGAACCCCGCACTGTCGGTGTGTGCCCACAAACACAGACACAGCTGCTCACACAGAGCCCTGAGCCTGCTCAGGGGGGCTTGGCACGAGGCAGCTCATCCCCCTCCTCACAACCTGTGCTCCCAGCTAAAGATGGACACTTGGATCTGTGTCTGTCTGCTCTGTGGGTGAGTGTTGATGGGTGAGTCACACCAGCTCTGCCTTCCCCTTCCCTGATCACTCAGCTGAGGGCAGGGACCAGCTGACACCTTACAAGTTCACCCCCAGCTTATCTGGCCATAGCTTGTTTTCTGCACCCAAAATGAGCTGGACTAAAGCTCTCCCAGACTGCCCTACTACTTAGCACAGTGCTGAATTAATGACCCTGAGCTCATACACATCACCACAGCCCTTTTATCCCCACCCTGTACTCAGAATTACTCCTTCTACACAGTTCCATTTGGTCGATACTTAAGTACCCACCCAGGCTGATTTACCTTCATAGCACAGTCCATTTTCTACACATTTATTCCTGAAGCTCTTGTAACTGCTGGCTGGAAATATTCAATCAAATTCAAATCTAATGCTGTCCCTGCTTAAAAAAAAACAAAACAGCAAAAAACCCCACAACCCACAAAAAAACCTCTGCTCTTCCCAAAGGTGCGAATTCTATTCTGCTCTGAACAGGAATGAAAGGCTTAAATGCCTAAAAGAAAGGAAATTATTTAAATTAAAACAAAACAAAAATAGCCCCAAGGTACTGTTAATGTCACCACGGGGAGATCAGACCTGTGAAGGGACACATGATGGCAGAGTCTTGCTGTGAGCCCCTCAAGCCTGAGGCTGCTCCAGAGGAAGACCTGTGAGGTCTGGATGAAGGTTTATCACCTGATGGACTGAACTCCTGCTCCCAGCCCAGGCTGGGGGGTGACACAGGGAGCATCAGTCCCCACCCTGGAGCAGCTGCAGGACAGTGGTGTGAAAACTGGGCACGAAAAAAGGGACTGAGTGAGCACTGCAGTCAGTACCAACCCAGACTTCTCAACTGCTAAATGGAGCTGCTTTCTGCTTTTTGTGTGGGTCCTCTCTGCCCACACCGTGTCACTGAGGCGGCTGAAGGCTCCAAGCAGGAGGGTTCACTCTGCCACCTCCCACCACACATCAACTGCAGATCATTTCTGGAAGTGTCTTGTCTGGGCTTCAGGATCCACGGTGCTTTATTTTTATCAGGCTTTGCTTAGCTCTTGGCTCTCAGCACAGGATTTGCCCCTCCCAGAAAGTTTGTTAAGGCCTTGGTAAGACCTCAGACATCACTTCAGCCCATACCCAAGCCTATGTGAAAGTCCTGATAGGAAATCTCTGCTGTTCTCCAGCACTGCCACACAGTTTCCTTTCTGTCCCCATCTCCTTGAACAAAACAACCTGCACTTCAAAATCTTTTCTGGATGCAATGCACTGTTTTCATGCTGGGGAGCACCATTTTGATTTCAGGCTTATTTGGGAAAGTCTGCTCTCAGATCCAAGTGTTGTGGATAAGCTCTCCCAGCATGGGTGGTTTTCTTTTCCTCTGGCTGCTGGGCAGAGTGTGTGTTTTGCTGCCACATCCTTCATCCACAAATGCAAAAGAGTCCAAGGGCTGCCCAAGGGGTTCCCCTGCTTTATAATCTCTCTCACACATATGCAGGGATTATCAGCCTCGGGAGAGCTGAGGACACAAAGACCAAAAACATCCTCCAGAAACAAATTAATGTGCTGGAAGAAATTGCTGCCTCCAGGAGCTTGGGATCTGTGTGTGTGACTCTGTTCTGAAACAACACCACCATTACCCAAATGAGAGCAAACAGACAAAATAATAACTGGTGATTCAGGAGAGCCATAGTGTTACAACCCACAGAGAGCTGGAGACTGCAGCCATCCAGGTGGAATTCCTGCCAAAGTACATGAGTTTACATGGGATTATATTCATTGGACAAGTACATCTGCATATTATTCTGCCCTTAATCCACATACAAACCTCCAGGTGAGGGTTGGGATCCCTGTTTCCTCTGTGCAATACTGCTTCTGTCCTTCAGATCCTCTGCAGCACACACCTGCACACTTGTACTCAGATACACACGTGTTGTCCTGCCATCCTGATATTCCTTATCTCTGATCTTGTCTCACCATCCACCTCCCCATTTCCTGCTGAGGAAGATGCACACCAGCACCTTGTCTGCCTCTGCTCTATGGAGGTGAAGCAGCACTGGCAAGGCCCAAGCTGGGATGGTAATTACTGATGGGTACAAAGTCTCTCAGTAAGAGAATGTACTGGAGGACAGTCAGAATTTGGCAGTTTTCAGAAGCCTTTGTCTAAAATTTGTAAATGCCCTTCTAAAACAAAAGCCACAACTTGAAACAATGATGATACCTGCAGGCAATTTATAATGGGATGAAGATGGAGCAGTGTGATTCTAACTTCCTAACCTTCCTCTGCAAGCTCAGATGGCAGAGTTTTCCAAGGGGGAGAAGAAAGAAAATCATTCTTGTGACCTCCAGAAAGAGATGGTTGACCCCACTGCACTGCAACTTCCTGAGTGATAAAACATCTATTGCTACAAGGACTGCACGAAGAAAGGAGAGAGCAAAGACCCAATCTCTGCATCTCCATCACTGACTGAGATGAACAGGGAAGAACCATTATCCAATTTCTTCCTAGAGAAGCCCAGGCAGCACCACTGACCTGGAGCTGTTTGGGATTGTGAGGAGCTGGTACTTGAGGGTTTCCACAAACTGGGCTGACATGGAGCAGCAGTGCCACAAGGGCCAGAATTAACCTCACTGTCACTGCCCGAGGACCACAAGAGATCCAAGGTTCAATGCAGCTGAAGGATGGGATCCCTCAGATGTTTATGACGTACCCAGGAATTCAACCATCCCTAAAATATTTTTTTCTCCTCGTGGAGTTAAGTATCATGTGGCATCAGGAGCTCTGGGATAGGTGGCTGCACCTGAGAGGAACATGAAGAACATTTTACACAGCAAATTAAAGCTCACGAGGCCATAACCTACAAACACAGTCCTGGGCTACCAACATCTTCAAACATCATGGCTTTCTCTCTATGGCTGAGGAGGAAAGTCATCTATCTGTGTTAACTTTCCAGGATGAGAGAATCCCTTCCCAGCATTAGCCTTTTTCCAGACTTCTTGCAGTGTCTGAGGCTGGGACACCATCAGGTCCACTGGGAAGTCTCATTTCATAGCAAAATATGGAGAAAAAAAAAGAGAGATTTTTGTTCTGAAAGAAGCTGCTCAATAATTCCACTCAGGAACTCCTGACAACATTCCTCTCCTTACTTTGAAGTGCCTGAGCTGTGTCTCTTAAACATGCTGGGTTGCACATACATTAACTAGAGAAGCATGGAGATAAATGAGGTGGAGCAGGCTTTGTACACAGATGGATAAGGTGCCAATGTGATAGAAATGGATCACTGAAAGTTCAGGACATTTTTCCATGCCAGGGTCTGTGATCTGCTCTCTCAGAACCCAGAGCCTCACTGCTGTGGAGATGGGCAACGCTTGTCTTTTGCATGTTCGTGGTCTGGCTCCTCAAATGGTGTTGAAATGACAAATTTCAGGCCAAGCTGTGCTGGCAATTAGTCAAGGATTAGATGAGCCCCCTCTGTCAACACTTTCATTCGTTTCTTACCCAAAGGGGCAGCTTAAGCAAGAGCCAGCAAAGCTAAAATTCAAACATAAGGAGCAATGGGAGGAAATCCAAGGATGACTTTTCCCCCCATCTTGTAGCTACCAGAAGAAGGAATGCTCTACTGAGTGGTCTAAGGATGAGTTTGGTCAATGGTGTTCAACAGGCAGCCCCTGATGTGGGAGGTGCCATCGCAGGAAAACATGTCCCTGACACAAGGATTGGAGTCACAGTGCCACGAGAGAAGATCTGGGATTAACTTCCAGGTGTAGCCAGGCATTGCTACCATTGCCTTAATGGGAGAGGCTCCTTCCAGGTGCATCCTGGGCAGGGAATTCCAGAAGGAAGCTTCCAGCCATGTCACCCTGAGACAGCACAGAAGCCAATGGGCCTCGTGCACTCACAGGAGAGAGCAGAAAAAGGCACTGCAGGCCTGGGGAAGCAGAGCTGCAGGGCCAACCTCTGCCTATTTCAGGAGCTTGCACTCACTTGGACTTACAGTTTCAGCCATTTAAAGGGAAGAGAAGAAGTCAGAGGACAGCAAACCCTGAGGAGATCCCCACCAGAGACAGACCAGAGCAAACCAAAAGGAAGTAAATCTGTCTCCTGCCTGGCATCCTCTCTGATATTGGCCAGAGAGGAATGAAGAAGAATGACAGTGTTAAAAAGGAGATCAGATCCTCCAAAGTTTAGCCAATCTGCCAAGAAAAGCCATCCTCCACAGCAGTAGCAGAAGACAGAAAGAAGGAGGAATGCTGTGATCCCAAAGAGCCTTCCCCTTCCTCCTTCCTGCTTTCATCAGCTCCTGGGAAGAGAATTCACACCAGCTCTTTAGATGACAGAGACAGGTCTGCACACAGCAGAGAGTGACAACAAACAGGACACCTCAAATCACAAACTGCAACACAGCTACAACCAAAACCCTCTGGCTGACCCAGTCAATCCCCTTCCTCCAGCAAGAAAAGGCTTCTCAAGGTTTCACAAAGGGAAAACTCCTCTGCACTGCAATAGGAATGCAGGTGATTTAAAACCCATGCAGCACATTTCTTGCCTGGGTATATCCTCCATTGTGCTAAGTAAACTTCCACATATAAAGCAGCTTAAATCAGTTTATATTTGCTTTCCTGTCCCTGTTCTGTGTTTACAGATCACGGTATTCAGGGGAAGAATGGAGGTGTCATTATTTTTGTGGCTCAGTAACATGTTACACATCACAGGAACTTCTATTTCCCCAACACACAGGAACATAAGTCTATATTTGATTAACATAAAAAGACCCTTACCAGAAAGTGAGTAATCTGTATTAGTCATCCTCATGGCTGGAGTGTAAGATACACTTGGCATGTCATGGCCCTTTTCCTTCTGTTTCCGTCGATACCACACAAACAGTGCCAGCAAGACCATAATAATTAGAAGGAGAATAATAATTCCAATGATTGCTCCCACTGAGTGCCTCTCTGATCCAAGAGCAGGGCTAATTTTAGTATAGGGGTTTAATTCTTCCATCATAAGAGCCGCTGTTAAAAGTAATTCATAACACACTGTAAATTGAATCGTGCATTTCATTTTCGAAATACTGTTGTTGTTTTTTTTTTTAAAGCAAGTACATCACTGGAGAGGGGGAAAGAGATAAAGAGAGAGGGATTTTACAGACAGAATCCCACTGTACCTTGATCACACCGGATTCCTTTGAAGCCTGGGCTGCAGTAGCAGGTCCCCGTGACATGGTCACATGTCGCATTATTCATGCACTCACAAAGTTGTTTGCAACCATAACCAAACGTTCCTGGTGAGCACTCTGGGAAGCCAAAGAAAAACATTGGAAAGAATTCCTGCTGTTTTCAGGAATGGGTGCAATGGCAAATTCAGTAGAAAAGTCTCCCTGGTTTCAGGGTCTCCAGGGTAACACTCTAATGCAAGATGATTACTATTATTTTAAAGCAGAGGATAAATGTATTTCATGCACAATTTATTACTTATTAAGCTGTAACTTTCTGGAAAAGTCTTACAAGACTTCCTAAGGATGAAATCAATAATAGGTACAAAGGATTTAAAAGTCTTGATATACATTATAAATGTTCAGAATTTGGCAGAGCATGAGCTCAGAAGCTTTAGAGAACCTCTTGAAAGAGCTTAGCATTCTCCACCACCCTACTGATTTTTTTTTATGAGGTAGTTGCAAAGAAAAGTTTTAATGAACATTTATATGAACCCAATAGAGTTTTACCAAACAAATCCCACGTGCTTTCCTACTCATCCCTACTAGTGCCAGGAGGCGAACAGAACATTGTAGGTGGAATTGCAGAATTGAGCACCTGAATGGTCTGATTTGCTCTGCTTCTGTACCAGGACTCCTGATACAGAAGGAATTTCTATCCTGTCTTTGTATTTCTATCAAAGACGAAATGATTGAATGCCCAGCTGAGAAATTTATTCATACAATTACCATGATGGGCTATTACAATAAATCTGTAGGCAGCTGACTTTACTTCTGGAGGCACTATTCAATAATAAATTGAAAGAAACAATGTCTGTCACATCCCACTTATTTCCATGGAGAAGAAGCATTACTGAAAGCATTCACACTTGTTATGATACTATAGAATATATCTTGTTTAACATGTGACTCCCTGTGTGTCCCTGCAAATGTTTTGCATAGCATGAGACACCTCCTCAGTGTCAGTCTCTAAGTAGCTTCTAGTAGCCAAAATTTAGTATTTAGTAAAGAACTCTAGCCAGTATCTGTGTAATGATTTGCAGTGTGTATTAAAGTTGTATCTCTTTCTTTAATCTGCTGGTCCTCAAATAAGGAAAAAAAAATTTACAATTAATGCTCATTCTGATAGTAACCTGTAGCCTACTTAAAATGAATAAAGCCTAAATTTTGGGACTGCACCACAGAAATGATGCCTGCAATTAGGCATTTCATCTGCAATGCAGTGTGACTGCCCATTCAGCAGGATCTGGAGAAAGAAGGAGCCTTAATGAAGAGATTCTTTTAGATTAAACAGTAGAAAAACAGATAAATAAATACATTTGTAGTTTGGATAGAAAAGAAAGCCTCAGGCTTTGTACAGAGGTTGCATTAAGAAGTAGCTTCTTGTATAAAATCTGCTAATGTGCAGTTCTACTGTGGGACTTTTTAGTTTCCTGTTTTGATGATGGTTGCAGTAGGGCTGTACCCAAATTCACAGTAAATTGGCCATTTACAGAGTTACAGAGGTGCCATATATAATCCCCCATGAGCACACACATTTGGTCCCGAGATATTCTCTTTGCTGAATGCAAGTGTGTGCAAAAAGATAATTATGAATTAAGTTACATGTACAAACACTTCCATAAAGATCCATGCAGCGAGCTCCAGTTAAAGCCTTCCCTTGCAAATCTAGCAGGAATGTTATTGCATTACCTTACTGCCAAAAAAAGGAAGGGAACCCTGTGGAATTAATGCCTGGGTAAGGTGAGATGGATTTTATGTTGCATTTAGAATATGAGTAAGTGTGTGAGAATTTTCTTGTGATTTACTATACTGGACAAACAAGTCATTATTCAGCTACAGCACATCCAGTCTGCACTACCCTCATTCCATGTTCTTTAAAGAAGCCATTTGGCACAGGCTGCTAAATATGCCAGCAGGACATGGACAACAATTCCAGTAAAACATGCCAGGTCCCTTGGAAGGTAATTGGAGTTCATTGTAAACACTTGCTCACTGCTCTAACTAAACACAGATCCTTCCCAAAATGGCAAACAACTTTGCTTTCCCTGTAAAGATGAATCTTTATTTGCTCCACATCAATAGCATAACAACTTATGCAGGAAAGCCCCAATATTCCTTGGAAGGCAGAGAGCAGAAAGGATTTATTTCTTTTAACCCTTCTGTCTTCCTTCATGCTTAAGGAAACCTGATGCTCTCAACAGCATTAGCAAGGCATGATGCAGCTTTTGGGCTGTTTTTCTACTAATTAGGTACAAGTTTTTTGGGAAGGCTCCATCCAGTCAGCACTGAGTACACTGACTTGCTTTCCCTCACCCAACTTTAGCCTGGGAACGAAAAGGCCCAACTGGCAGAGAATTCACTGTATTTCTTCATGCTTAGACTGCCCAGTTTTCCACAGGCACCTTCTCCTCCCTGTGGATTACATAAGGTGCCTGGGGTCACTGACTTGCTGACATCAACACTTCATTTAAGAGCCTATTTGTGCAGAGAATTCTGAAACACCCCCTCTCTCCCTGGAGAAACAGAAACCCGAGGTCATGCTGGTACTTACTCTGCTCGCACTGTTTGCCTGTAAATCCAGTCCTGCACGTGCACTGCCCGGTGATGTGGTCACAGTCGGCTCCGTTCTGACACTGACACACGTTGGCACAGTTCTTGCCATAAAAAGCAGCTGGGCAACCTTTCAGGAATCAGAAGAAGGAAGGACTAAGAAATGAGCTGAAAGCCAAACTCAGATGCGTTATCAGCACAAAACCTGTAGGCCTATAAATCTATGGATTTTCAGCCTGTGTGTATTTAATAACATTTATTTGATGGTCTAAATGCAGAAATACTATGACAGCCAATTTTCTTGAAGTAATGTTTCTCATCTCTTACAGAATTGCCTCTTAAGTGTTCCAGAGGAATGAAAACTTGACCCATCTATACAAACCACATTTTCAAGAGGTGAAAGAAGATGCTAAACAGAAACTCTCTGAAAGACCAGAGATCAATCAATTACTTGCAAGTGAAAGAGTCCTCTTAAAAGGCTCACCAGAATTGGATCTCCTCTTGTACAGTGCTGGTAATTTGGCACTAGGAAGAGAAATCCTAAATCAGGCCACCTGTACTGGGGCCTTAACAAGCAGGGACATGGACTGTGCAAATCCTGACAATTAATCAATAATCTAAATTATTTGCCCCTCCTTTAAAGGCACAAAAGCACCGAAAGCTTCAAGAGTGTTTTCTTTGGGGTGACGTGAGGTTATCCCAAGTAAGAAGCAGGTGGATTTCGAGGGAAGACTGCAATACTTGCGAGAGACACGAGGTAGCAGCACATACTTTGACAGATTCCCTGTCCCTGGAAGGCTTACGCTGAGTGCAGAAGAGCCCCGTCCAGCCGTGGGTACATCGACACTCTCCATCGTAGGGGCTGCACAGTGCTCCGTTGTGGCAGTTGCAGGAATGAAAGCAGTCAGGGCCCCAAAACCCACTGGGACAGGCTGTGGAAACAAAACACATTTGTCGGCTGACAGAAAAAAAAGAGCAGTGATACTGTGTCAGTGCTGAGGAGGAACAAGGACAACGGGAGAACCTGCGAGACACCAGCGAGGGCAGAACCTCACATGGCAGAGCTGCAGAGACTCCCGGACAGAGACTGGCTCTTCCCAGACAGAGACTGGCTCTTCCCAGACAGGGACTGGCTCTTCCCGGCTCTTCCCAGACAGAAATTGCTCTGGAAACCCTGGAGCCAACCTGTGGCTTCTCCCCTGCTGTCAAGCCCTGGCATAGGGATTTCTCCCAGCAGGTGATGGGAGGTGATTCTGCCCCTCTGCTCTGCAAAGGTGAGACCCCACGGGCAGAGCTGCCTCCAGCTCCGGGATCCCCAACATCAGAAGGATGTGGAGCTGCTGGAGCGAGTCCAGAAGAGGCCACGGAGATGCTCCAAGGGTTGGAGTCCCTCTGCTCTGGGGACAGGCTGGGAGAGCTGGGGGGGTTCACCTGGAGAAGGAAAGACTCCAAGGAGACCTGAGAGCCCCTTCCAGTGCCTAAAGAGGCTCCAGTAGAGCTGGAGAGGGACTTGGGACAAGGACCTAGGCTGTCAGGACTAGGGGAATGGCTTCCCACTGCCAGAGGGCAGGGTTAGATGGGATATTGGGAAGGAATTCTTCCCTGTGAGGGTGGGGAGGCCCTGGCACAGGTTGCCCAGAGAAGCTGTGGCTGCCCCTGGATCCCTGGAAGTGTCCAAGGCCAGTTTGGATGGGGCTTGGAGCAACCTGGGCTAGTGGAAGGTGTCCCTTCCTGGACTGGATGAGCTTTAAGGTCCCTTCCAAGCCAAACCTTCCTGGGATTCTATGATTCCATGATTCCCCAGGTGGGTCACGTGAAGAGATCAGCTCTGCCCTGAGAACCATAGAAGCAGCAACCCTCGACACCACGTCCCCCTGTGTGCTCTGGGCACTCCCCCTGCCTTACTGGCATTATCTGTGAAGACAATTTAGACTTGTGGTTGTAAGATATGGAGGTAATTTAATTTTCTTCTTGACATTCTGGAATTCTTGCATAATAAAGCCCAGCTATTCAGGTTTACTTTGCTATGCAATCAACCACTAAAATTACCACATTCAGTTGAGGCACCGAGTGCTGCTCCAATTACGTAAAAAATGTAAAGAAAACTTCTTCCAATATGAACTCCCATCCACAAATTCAGATTGCTTTTGTTGATGCGACCAATATTAAATTAAAATCTCCAGGTCTATTTTATATTTCAACAAGTACAATATTAATATATATTTTAAAAAGTTATTTTAAGCCTCCCTCCAAAAAATGAATGCAGTAAGTTACAGTTATTAGTGCCAGACTAAGAGATCCAAAATGATGATAGCCCTTCAATATAACAACTATATTTTTGCTTTAAAAAGCACTTTCCATGGCTTGCTATTAAAGACATGAATTAATAAGGCACAGTTCCCAGGAAACCTGAAAGTACAGAAACCATGCCTGCTTCCATGGATGCCAATGGCTCCTGCTCGGACGATAAATGCAAGTTTCTGGCACATGACAGACACCCCTAAAGCCAGAATGAGCAGCCAAAAAAACCTGCCATGACGTTAATCAAACAAAAGGTCACTGAACTCACACAATGTAAAGCTGACCAGGACTTGGCCTAAAGTCTTTGTGCTATAAGCAACCAGAAATAGCATCACAGAATGTGCTGAGTTGGAAGGGAGCCATCGGGATCATCGAGTGCCACTCCTGGCCCTGCACAGGACACCCCAAAATCCCACCAGGAGCCTCACAGACAGTCTTGGTGCTGTGACCGCTGCCCTGGGGAGCCTGTTCCAGTTCTCCTTTGTAAGGCAGAGCTGCAGGGTCTGTCAGAGAATCCAGAACTGGCTCTGGAGCCTGAGCTAAAACTCTCTCCTGCGCAGCTCCGACTGTGGGTCATTCCAGGTTAACTGGTCTGATGGAAATAGCTCGGGAGGTGAGGCCAGGTGCCCACAGGAGCCTGGTGTGGGCCAGGATCACCTTGGGAGATCAGTCACCCTCTTTACAAGGAGGTGACTGAGGAGACAGCCACGTTCCCCCTTGGCTCATACCAGCTACAACCAGGTCCTTCTGCCTCCTGGGCCGGCAATGGTTGCTCTCCAAGAAAAACCATCTTTTGTCAAGGTTAACAGAAACTAACAGTCATTTCCCAATTACATGGCTAAATATAATGAGGAATCTGAGCAGCTTTCTTTTTTTCTCCCCCCCCCCCTTATTTTTGAGTGACAGCAATATTCTGCCTGTGGAAGACACACAATAAAAGCAAAATTACAGCCGTCTGTTTTTATCCGATTCCTGCTTTATCACTTGAAGTTTAATATATTTTACTCTGGAATGCTGTCTAATATGCTAGTTGTATCCTGAATATGAAGTAACATTTCTGAATGATCGGATATTGCCTCCCTCTGTGATCCAGCTTCAATTAAGGGATGCTCTCAGGAAATGACACTTTGGGATCAGCAAATGCCAATCTTCTACCTGGGCAATTTTCAAGAAGAAATCCTCCATCCCTCCAAGCCCACGTTGACTTTTACAATTAAATTACACTTAATAGAAATATTTCAGCCGCCTAATTTCTCAATTCTGGGGGGTTGGTACATGAAAACATTTACTGGTTAATAAATTCTAAATGTAATAGCTGAAAGAAAATGATTTCAAAAAAATAAATAAAAGGGAATGCAGCTAGAAATTAAAAGGGAGCATGGAGCTTTCTTTTCTGATAAGAGCTTGTGACCTCCCTTTCCTGGAATAAAAGCCAGTCACTGCTTCTGCAAACTCCAAATGCAGAAACTAATTCAATCCAGAGCTAACTTAGACTAATTAAGAGAAATAAGCCATAAAGAGAGTAAGGCAGTGGCTATAAAACCTCAGGGATTTCCCCAGAACCCGTCTCTAACTATCAGAAAACACTAAGCAAACACAAAAATATGTCATTTTGAAGCAGAGGTGGGAGGACAACACTTTGCTTACTCTGAGAGCAGTCCATGCCTATCCAGCCTGGGAAGCACTGGCAGGACCCGTCGATGGGATTGCACGTCCCGTTCTCGGTGCACTGACACACCTCGGCACAGTCCTTCCCGTATCTCCCACTGGGACACACTGGAAACACAAGGCACTTTACTGAAGGCTCTTCAGAATGGACATGAGGAAGTCACAGTTTAACATTTAGCAATTAGAGATAAAATTAATTGCAATGTTTTTCTTCGATGAAGCCGAACAAGCAACGATCTTCTGGAAAGAAGGAAAAGGCAGAAAGTATTCGAGTTCTTTTTTTTTTTCCTCGCATCCCAATCATAAAAACAATAGGACACAGTGATCTCAAAATCAATTTTTCTGCTGGAAAATGAAGCCAATATAGTTAGAAGATTCCAATGATTGAAGGGCAGTATGGAAGGATGAGAAGAGGAGAGACAAAGAGAGAAAAGGGGTTATTGGCAGAGGAAGAGAACAGGGAAGTTGAGGAGAATTCAATGAGCAGCAGCCACCACAAGTGAGTGGCTGGAAGGGATTGATCTGGACACTTGGAAAGGGGAAGCAATTAAGTTGCAAATGTGGTTCCCAAGGATTATATATATGTTTGACTGAGAGCTGTTAAATAGATGTGCTGCATCCAAAAAAATCAGCACCTATCCTTGTGTGCCCACCTGGTTTAGTCCTGAAGTTGGAAGGAAAGAAACTCTAAATTTATTTTTCCAGAGTCATCCTCTAAGAGCCCAAGCACAGTGACAGAAAACTAATAGACATGTAGATCTTCAACCTCCCACCAAATTATTGGAAATCTTTAACGTTAAAGTTGATGGAAAGCTCTGTTCAGTAACGAATGAAATGTTTCATTTCTGGGCTCTTATTGGCTGTGTTCCCTGACAAAAACAGATGTATTTTCAAAATAAGATAAAACATACAGTCCATCTTTGCAAAGAGTGTAACAAATGGAACTGGACTTGTATCCTGGTAAATAATAGCGATGTCAAAAAAGTGATTAAGGCACTTCCCTGAATTATGCAGCTGTTTTACCACTTCAGCCTCTCTCACTTTCTCAAAAGTAGTCTCTGCAGGTGACCTCAATCTATCCTGACTGTGAATCAGCCACAGATTGAAATCCTGAGCTGTGATTCATTGGTTTTTATATAATATGCCATCCTCTACTCTTACTACAGCAGAAAGCTAAGAATGTGCAGAGTTATTGTTTTCTGCCTGTATTTCTATATACTGTGGACTTATCTGTAGGAGTGGATAAAGTTGGGTTTGGCTTTCAAATTATGTGCTAAACAGAACAGTTCCTAACTGAAAAGAGATAAAACTAAACCCAATATACAGCCACAGTGAAAAGAACAATACACAGACACAAAGAGAGGAGGAAAGCAAAGCCCTCAAATCACAGGCAGAGCAAAAACTGAAATGATCTGTCAGCCCGGGCTCTTGCAGAGGCCACACCATCAGTCACTTCCAATGCTCCATATACAGCAGCTCCATGCACTATTTATGGCATCTTTAAGATGGAGATAGATAACATCACCTCAATGATTTTTTATAGGTACAAAAAAAGTAGTTCTCTAAAGACTTGCTCAGAATAGGAGCTGATTTGTACTGCAACACGGAATGCTAATGGATCAGGACGAGATTTGTGATCCAAACAGAGCTGCTGGCAAAGGCACCAGGTCACACTTCACAAAAGCACTGCTCTGGTGCACACAGGGAGAGCTGTTCCTTCCCCGGGAGCACCTCCTGTCTCTGGGAAATGGGATGATGCCCTCTGGAATGTCAACACAGACGGACCAACCAAATGGTTGTTCCCCTTAATTGAAACAACCTGGTTGTGGATTGACACGTCAGCTCTCTTGTGAGGATGTGAGATCCAAACACAAGCCCTTTTTAAATGTCTCAACCAGTTTTAAACAGAGCTGTAAAGCAAGGCCTGGTGCTGCTTTCCTCGGGAGCAATCTGATTGTACAACCCAGATAGTGATGTTAATTAGCCATAAAAGCTCTGAAGTGGGACTCCCAAAGTCCCTGTGGGATGTCAGGTGTGTTCCAGCAGCGATAACAGGTTATTATCAATCCATCTTGCTACATGATTGTGAAAGATATTCATAAAACAGCTGTTTAGTCATTTGTAGCTCGGAATCCTGTGCAATTTTGGGGGGTTACACAGCTCCTCACAGGCATGTGCTGCTGGTGGAAGAATGTTCCTGCTGCCAGAAAGGAGATGGCACGAGGAGATGAAAATTCCAAAGTGAAATCTTCGTTTCACATTTTTTTAATGGAAAACATTAATTAACATTTTTCTTTCTACAAAATAAAGTTACATGTTAACTCATTATGACAAACTGCAACACAAATTGATTTTAATTAGGACATGAATATTTTAAAATTAATTTACTGGATAGATCAACATTTCAAAGTAAAACCAGAAGTGCCGAACATCTGAGCAAAAATAAAATAGTTTTCTTAAGAGGATAATTAGACCTGCTTATGCTTTGAAATCTGGCTAACGTTTCACATAAAATGGACAAATTCACTGAAATATGTTCATTTTAATAAATTAATTGGTATAATGTTTAGTTGACTGTACAACACAGGAAAAAGAAAACATGGCTATACTTACTCCATGTTTAATGATTTTGCATAAGTGCTGCCTGCAATTCCTGACTTACTGACAAGCAGGTCATTAAGAAGTGTCACTCAATTTTTGCAGGGATGGTGACTTCACAAAGGGCAGTCACCTCTTTTAAATACCTGTATAGGAAACACCCCCAGCAGGATGTAACCACTGAGACTGCAGAATACTGAATGCTTTTGTGGGTATTTTTAGGATAAAACTGAAAATCAAACACAGTTAAAAATGGAGTAATTAATGGAGGAACAGAAAGGGGATGAGCATGTGGGGGAGCTGAAGCTGCTCTTCACCTGTGAAAATTAACTCACTTTCTCTGCCTCATTGCAAACTTTTCTGTCTCCTGCACTCGTGTTCATGACTTCAGCTATTCCCAACCAGGTCCTACACAGTGCAAATAGTTTGGGCTTGTGCACCTGAGCTGGCCTTGCCCTTAACCAGAATCTACAGGTCCTGCTGCAAAAGATCCCGTCAAGGTGCCATCGACATGCAGGGGAGGAGAGGCTGAGCAGAAAGAAAAATGACCCCATTGGATGCTGATGTATTTACAGCAGGTGTCTCATTCCATAGTCAGTTCAATCCAGCACTGCAGACCTGGATTTATGAAACCAGGAGCACATCATATTTACAAAAGGGTGGCTAAGTACCTATTTGCATTTCCCCTCTGAAGTAAAGAATTTCTTCGGATCTAAACTGCTGAAACAAGGGAAAAAGACAGAAACCTTGTGATGGGCCTTGCTGCAAAGTCACAGACATTTAGGAAAGGAGGTGGAATTTGGGGGTTTGGGGCTCAGTACCTTGGTTGCAGAGAGGGCCAAAAAATCCAGGCAGGCAGTCGCAGTGTCCCGACACGTGGTGACAAGGACCATTGCTGTGCACACACTGGGGGCAGGGCTGGCCACAGTGGTGTCCATAAAAACCAGGGGGACAAACTGGAAACAAAACAAAATCAGCTGTCACGGGTTTTCCGAAGTTTTCTCATTGCTGAGAGCTCAAGAATTCTCTGTCTTAATCCCAAACCATTATTTCTTTATTTATAAAAACACGGTTCTGTGGACAGCTGAAAGGATGAAGCCTGTGGGATTGTTCCATGTCTAATGAAGGGCAAGCTCTGAGGAAAACTGCTCCTGTGTTCAAACATTCCCACCTTCTGACCTCATGTAAGTCCCTGGCTATTTAATAACACAGTGGAGTTCTCAGCAGCCTCCCCCTCTCAGGACATTCATTTGAGTCTCTCTAGCCTGCTCCAGATAACTCTTTGACAGAACATGGGAGTTTAAGATGTTTGAGACCTCAGAGCCTACTGCAGATATGGATAATAACACATTCCAAAGCTTTTAAGATAGGAAGAGAAACACACACATGTAGAGACAACAGAAACTCAGAATATCATTTCCTTTGGAAACCGAGCTGAGAATTCAGAGAAGGTGTATTAGGAAACAATATTTTATGTCTAAATAACTATGCCAAAAGCTGATTTCCAAACCTGTGAGGTGTGACACCTGTGTTCACCTGGGGCAGACAGTTTATATATGTCATGGCAGGAGCTGCAGCCATCAGTGATGAACAGAATCTAAAGATGGTAATTATGGTAACAGCATATAAAATCACCTGATTTGCATCAGTAATGACACAGGATAGCTGAGGAAACTTGTCATGAACTGTGTGCTTAATTTGCCTAAAACCTGAGATTATTATAGAATTTGTACACAGGGTAGAGAGCCAAGATTACGGCTCAGTATCTCTTCTAAACACAGATTGTTGCTTCTAAGCACATGTAGGGTGAAAAACCATCCGCTGTCCAAACATTCACTGCAACAGATAACACAAAGAAATGTTAAATTGCAGTAAGTGACTGCAAAAATGACTTTATGTGTTTTTATTTTTACTCCCGTGACTCTCTGTTCTACAGTTCCGGCTCAGCGGTTACTTTATCACGTCCGTTCTATTTTTCCACCAAATGAGAATTTTCTCTTGGTCTGTATGTTCACAGAGGGTGTCAGGCTCTTACACCACTGCACATTTCCAGCTGGAACTCAGCTGACAGGTTTGTTGATATATATACCAGCTATAAAACACCCTGGATCATTGCTGCAGACATTTCTGCAGGCTTAAGAGCACTAAACCATCCCGGTGTCTCATGTAATCCTGATTACACCGACAGAACAAGTTGGCTGAGAATCATCTTCAGTATCATCTTCAGTGCTGCCTGCACAGGCTAAATTCTGCTTCTAAATGAATTTCCAAGAGAAAAATGTGGATGGTTTTGAGAGCAAGCTTAGCAAGCTAAAGCTGCCCTCACCCACGGAGGTGTCCTCCTCACCAGGTAGGCTTGAGCCTGAATCCCACAGAAGAGATGGAAGCAAGCTGAATTCCCATGCCACGTGCTCACAGAGGCATTTCAGCAACACGAGGCAATAGCAGAAACATTCACAGGAAGAAAATTTCTCCCCATTAGATCCTCAGCAAACATCCTCGGGGAGCAGCCTGATTACTGGGCTTGCAAACTGGGAACAAGGTTTGCCTCTTGTAGCCTATGTGCCATCAGCTGATAAAACTAAGCTGGTTTTTTTCATCTCAGAAAGGTCAGAAACTATTAACTTCTGGAAGTTTTGCACTCTTAAGGTTTCAAATTCATGAAACATTTCCTTCCCCAATTCCCTGAAGCTCTGAGCACCACATTTTAGCCTTGGAGAGAGGTTTTACAGCTACATAGATATGCTGAAGCACCTGGAAATTGGGGTTTATAATGGAAATGCTTATAGGCCATTAACTACAGCAGTGCTAGAGGTCATCGTTATAATGGCTTTAAATAAAAACTGTCAGCTACAAATTATTTTTAGAGATGAGTGTGTTCTAGTGTCGAGTGTAACTGGTGAAATCAAAGGGGCTGTATGAACTGGGAACGCAGAATGTCTTACAGGAAGAAGAAGAGCTGCTGCAGAAAAGAAAGACAAATCCACTTCTTGTTTACACAGGAAGATGGTTGTGTGTAGTTTGGATCAGTGAATTAGGGTCCCTACGGGGCAAATGCAGCTTCCCAGATAAAGCAAATGAGAGGGGTTTTATCTGCTTGGCACATTTTAATATGTAGCAGCAGAGCATCAGACAGGAGCTATTTCAGGCTGCTGTGTTTCTTTTTCTGGCATATAAGAAAACACTGCCTTGTTATTTTGATGCCAAGGCTCATCCACTTGTCATTATGTGATGGGTCATAGCTGACTGTTTAAAAAGGTCTCCTGACTTCACTGCAGATCTGTGTCTTGCCAGGTTTGGTATGGAAAGGTGTTGCTCCTTCCAGGTCACCTGTGACTTCCAGGTGCAGTAAACCAGAAGAAGAAACACAAGGCACGACTCCGTGCAGCGGAGTCCTGACTTCCCGATCCAGCAGCACTTTTTAGGCTGTGCTTTGCCCTTAGGGAGCTAAAGCAGCTCAGAAACTGTGGGTTTGTCTGACTGGTGTCACAAAGGAGCATTTCCACCTGCTTTGCTCCTGCCACGAACGGAAAATCTTACTTCTCTGGCACAGGGGTCCCCTGTATCCCGGGGCACAGTCGCAGGTGCCATCCTCTGGGGAGCAGGATCCCCCGTTCTCACAGCTGCATGAGATGGAGCAGTTGGGGCCCCAGCGGCCCTGGGTGCAGATGTTGTCACAGTGGATGCCTAAGGACATAAAGACACACATTAGGTTCCCCACAGCTTACTCTGCTCGCTGATCAAAGAAACTTTTGGCTGGACTGATGCCTCGCAGCCCCTCACGGAGCCAACGAGGGAGCCTGGGAAGGAAACAGCTCTCCTTTTATCTGCTTAATAAAGTGAAAATTAAGAAAACGCCAGAGAGGTGAGTTCTGCAGGTGTTAGTGGGCTCCTGTTCAGTCCTCAGCACCATTAAAGAAACTCTGCATGTCATCTGAGAGATGAAGGTCAGGAATTGCTTTAAAGTCACAAAATAGCTCAAATAACTGGTCTGGAAATAGGCAGTTGATTGAAGCCTGATTACTTACCTGTTGTGAATTGGAAGACCTAAAAAAGAAAAATCAGGGCTCTGAAAAACATGTTGAAGTGTTTGGATTCTTGAACACAAGTAAATTCAGCTCTGTGCTGTGTTCTGTTCCCTTCCTTGCTTAAGGCAATGTGCTCTGGGGTTTTGTGCACATACCCCACGTCCACCCAGAGCTCTCCAGTTCTGTGATAATGAACAAAGTTCTGATCTAGCAAGTGGCCACGTGTGAGCACAGGCTGATCATCTGCATGTTAAATGGAGACTGAGACCTGCCAATCCAGCTCCAGTTGTTCACAGGGTGGTTGTTTGATATTTATTATTACGAAAAGCAAAGCTTGGAAACACCAAAGAAAAGCACGCGGCCAAAAAACTTAACATGAGGCTTCTAGCATGGTTTCAACTGGTTTTGTTTTAACTGGTGGCTTTTAAAAAACAACCTTGTGCCATGGTTTGTCACATATAAATGTGATCTAAGGATCTGGTGTTTGAGAGGCTCTTGCTCCGCTGGGACAAGGCAGTACCAACACCTGCAATTAGCAGAGCTATTTGCATGATCAAGGGCTCCTTGGATGGAAAACCATTTGCAGCATCATGAACTAAGAGGGTCATTAAGCAGTGCCAGCTGCAGGGAGTGGCACTGGCAAGGGAGACGGATAACACCAGGAAAAATGAATCACAGACTGGCTCGGAAAATCTTCCTACCAACGCCACCACATCGGGCACCTCCCGGCTGACCTGGCGGGGCCCACACACCTCAGCTGGGCTTTCAACAGCAAGATGTTCTTTATCATCCATGCACATGTCCCTGCTGCATAATGGGATAAAAGCGTCTCCGGGCTCCAGGAGCCCCCGCCGCGGCCAGAGGTTGGATTAGTGCATCTCCACGGAGAAACACAATCCCAAGTAATTTCCTGCACCTCTGATAACTTCATCTGGATGCCACAGGTAATGCACTGCAGTTGGGAGGCTGTGATCTGTACAGCCACCCAACTTGGAGGATTATTAAATCAGCTAAAAGTCATTATAAATACACTTACGGTGCAGCTTCAAGTTGGTTTTATAAATCTCTGAAGTTAATACAGTAAGAAATACTGCAGAGCCAAAATTTCCCTTTTCTGAAGATTAATCACACAATTATAATGTCCCTTCCTAGAAAATCTTAACCAAGTCTGGCAAAAGTACAGTTTGAAATGTGGTTTCTAGTAATACATGATCATAGCTTTATTTATAAAGAGGCAGGGTCCATGCTGTAGAGCTTAATAAAAACCACATTAAAATACAGTAAAAACTTAATACAAGCTCAATTCCTTCCTATCTAAGTAAATAAATCTGAAAAAGGGGAGTGCAAAAAGAGACAAGGAACATTTGTATTAGTAAAATCAAGAAAAACAATTATTTTAAACAGTCTTCCCTGCTCAGTTTGAAATCAAATATATCCTTGGATTACTTAAACAACAAATGCTTTGTGTGTGCATTTATGTAATATATCTACAGTGCTCTGTAATTAAAAAGTCAGACAATAAATTGTAAATAAATAAATGCATTTTGTATTTATAAATACACATATATGATCATTTATAGCTTTGAGCGTCTCAGCATGAGCTCCCAGCAATGAAATTCAGGCACAAATGTAGAAAAATGTGTATTTTTCCTCCCGACTGCAGCACTAAAATTACAATTCTGTCACTGTGAATGGGCTATTTATAAACTGGGACAATTAAACAGCATTATTTCTTGTTTCTTTTTGACAAAGTTTGGGGAAGAATGACACTGGCTCCTTTCTCATGGAAGGAACCCGAATTAAAATGCCAGGGCTGTTCCGTGCAGCAGCAAAGTCCTTCCTTTAGTAATGAGTAATGAGGGATGTCTTCCCACTCCTAAGAAGGGAATGAGTCATTGTGGAGCTGATTGTTGTAAGGAAATGTAAAGGGAGAAAAGAAAACCTTCTAGAAGCCACTGACACCCATTACAGCACTTATTTATTTATGCATCTCCAGAAGACAACCAGAAGAGATGGGGCTGCAATCAGTTTTTATTACTTTATATTACTCCAAGTTAATTCTCATGGAAGATTTTCTTTTTGGAGGCTCCCCCCCACACTGAATTGCAAATGTAAATGAGAAGTTAAAACTGCACCTGGACATGTATGTCTTATAGAACTGTGCTAGAAGAAGCACCTTAATTTCACAATTCCCTATCCTGGCAGTGCATGAAGGGGGAGTCCCTCCCAGCTACTTTACAGTTGGAGTCAGTGAAGCAGGAACCCTCTGTAAAGTAAAACTTCAATATTTACTTTGGGCCTTGCTGATGAACATTTCTGATAAGCAATTAGTTTTCAATTTCCAGAACTATAAAAGCTGCTGAAGTTGACACACCTCTGTATTATCTCGCCTTAAAACCACGGGTTCCTAATTTATGAACAAAATCCTGGTTTCACAAGCAATGACACAGAAATTAGAAAGACAACTATCAGAAGAAGAAGTCCTTGAAGCTGCAGGAAGCAGTTCTATACATAAACTCCATTGCCTGGATACCAGGGAATTATCTTCCAGCCTGAGGCTGTGGTTCACAATTGCAGACACTGGTATAAAATTACACTTCCAAGACCTTCTTAAACAATGTTCTGGGAGTGAATTGTAACTGAAATTCACATAACTTATATAATATTGTAGTTATCCACTGGATGTGGGCAAAGGCTTTGCACTCTTGCAGTAAGGCAGAGCTCAGGGAAGAGCAGAGTCCACTGTGGCTTTAACTCAGTCCGTGACACAGCAGCCACAAACCCTCCCTGTCCCGGTGTGGATTTGGGGTATTGGATTTCTGCAAACACTGGCTGCTCTCCAGTGGGATTCCCACTGCTGTCCTCTGGACTGCTTTGTACATGGCATTTAGCTGACAGTCCCAGCAGTGGCTTCGCTCCCCCTTCCCCACACCAACCTCCTCTGCACACACAGTGGGAAGGAAAACCAGCCCTAAGGGCCTGAAGTGCTGTGGAAAACACAACATGGGCTGAACTGAACCCAGCAGAGCAGTCACAGCTGCCCTGTTCTCAGGGGCAGCTACATGGGACAGCTCTTCCAAGGCCTTTCTCCTTACAGGAGACACTTTACTACCAGGACAGTTTACCACCAAGTGGCCAAGCAGCTGCTGTCTGGGACACAGGGAGTGTCTGGTGTAACTCCATCCCAGATTTCCCACAGGGGAAGCCAGTGGGTTGTGCAGGAATCTCCCAGTGTGGAATTGTAATTGGCATCTTGATAAAGGACAGCAGCAGGGAGAGAGGTAGGGGAGGAAAAGAATCCCAGAATGGTTTGGGTTGGATGGGACCTTAAAGGTTGTTTTGTTCCACCCCTGCCATGGGCAGGGACACCTTCCACTAGCCCAGGTTGCTCCAAGCCCCATCCAACCTGGCCTTGGACACTTCCAGGGATGGGGCAGCCACAGCTTCTTTGGGCAACCTGTGCCAGGGCCTCCCCACCCTCACAGGGAAGAATTGCTTCCCAATATCCCATCTAACCCTGCCCTCTGGCAGTTGGAAGCCATTCCCTGTGTCCTGTCCTTCCATCCCTTGTCCCAAGTCCCTCTCCAGCTCTCCTGGAGCCCCTTTAGGCACTGGAAGGGGCTCTAAGGTCTCACAGAGTATTCTCTTCTCCCAGCCTGGCTCCAGAGCAGAGGGGCTCCAGCCCTTGGATCAACCTAGTGTCTGGCAACAGCACTGCCTGATGGAAACCCATCAGTGACAAATGTTTTATCCCAATAACATAAATCATGTATTACAGCTCAGCTCTGGTGCAGAGTGGCCAGAGAGGGGGGTGTCTGGTGCCTCAATGTCACTGGTTTTCATGGAGCAGCTTCAATTTTTACCAGATGAAGTTGGTTCTTTGCATTAAAATTTAACGATCAGGCTGGGATGGATTAAGCTAAACATCCATACAACCATCAGGAAAAGGAGCAAGAAAAAGGAAAAAAACCCCCTCCAGGCCATACAAGTGGGATGTGAGGCACCTATTGAAGATCTCCTTCATAGGCTGCTTCCATTAATAATCTTCAGTGGCTTCAAGAAAGTTTGTCAAACTAATGCAGATTTAGTGCTGCCTGTAACTACATCACACTGAAGGACTTTGGAGGGTGAAATTCCTGAAAGGCAGATATAAGTAAAACTCCCTTTTTCCCCTCTCCAGCTTACTTCTGCAATTGCACTCGTGCCTGGGGATTACGTCTCTGGCTCTTAATAAAGCCTGCCATTGTTTCTGTGCTGTGTCTCTGGATAGTTGGAAACTAATACTCCAAACACAATAGAAGAGCAAAAATGGACGGAATAAATGAGAACCAGTGGCCTATTTTTGACCACTGCTATCCCCCTGACAGTAGCCTCTGCAGCAGTGCCTGTGTGCTACCCAGCATCTAATTATTTTTCAGGGACGGAGGAATTTGATGAATTATAGGATGTAACTCCCTTCCCCCCATGTACTTTAATTTTACATCTACCAGTGTATAACTGTAATTATTTCTCTGAATAAGATCTTCAGCTTTTTTTTTCTTTCCCCTCAATAGTCCCAATGTAAAGACAGATGCAACATCAATTAGGAATGACAGGAACAATTTCAGCAGACGTTTGAATCCAACACAAACATTGTGCTCTCCTCCACCTGTCTTTCAA